CACCGTCGAAATTAAAGTTCCTTCATTCTTCTTATTTCCGTCGATGGTATACCCTTTCCTTTCCGACGTCATAGTCAGCTTTTGGGCCAATCGTGAAAGGCCGACCACAGCGACGCTTTCGGTTGCGCACGTCGCCAATACCTGTATAAAAATTAGACGCACGAGGGGGGGGGGGGGGGGGGGGGGTCGGTGGCCGAGTGCATGGTCTAGCGCACTCTCGGAGCACTTGGAGCGAAAGCTCGCGCTGCAGAACCCACCCCGCCCCTGCCCGTTTCGACCTGGAAGTGCATCGCACCGGCGTGCGGTCGTGTATCACTACTGCATGGTGCACGTTAAAGACCCCAGGCTTGCGGCTGTACCGCATTGGCTAAATTGTTCATCTACAGCTGAGACACCAGACGCCCACTAAGGCAGACTAACTTCCGGCTGTATAAACATACACACAACAATTTGCAATTAGACGCATAATAACAAAGAACACAGCGTGCCGCATCTTTTCTTTTGATGCCTTTTTTTTTTTTTTTTTTTTTTTTTTAAACCAGCGCGAGCTCGTGCGTTTTTTCTTTTGAGACGGTTAGAACGGTCGCACATAAAACCCGCGTTTCTCCTACCCGCCCGCTTCCTCCTCTCATTATGTGTATTTTGTTATAACTAAATAAGCTATAATGATGGTGTATTATTCATATTTACTTTCAGTTTCAGTCAGGGAAAAGGAGTTTCGCGGGAACTGCACTCTCAAGAAAAAAGGGTGTCAAAAGGTGTATTCTTACACCCTTTGTCCCATATAATACACACCAGAATTTCAATTCGGCGTACAGTGCCCTACAGTCAAACAGAGGGCCCAAAATTTTAGGAGGGGCTTGATAGCCGTGTGGTAAAACATTTTAAATAGCTGAAGTACGTATGGAAGACCACATAGAGAAAGCACCGAGTTTTTACAGTAGGGCCAAGAAAACCCGAATTATTTTTTTCGTGTTCAGTAAAACGTACATTATCTATTTTAATAAGTTGTACCACACGGCTATCAAGCCCCTCCATAAATGTCGGGCCGTCTGTTCGACTGTAGGGCGCTGTATGTCGAATTGAAGTTTGGGGGTGTATGATATGGGACCAAGGGTGTAAGAATACACCTTTTGACACCCTTTTTTCTTGAGAGTGTAGAGCCAATAAATGAGCTGCGCTTAGAGTATCGGCACTCTCTTCCCCGACAGTATTGTGAACGCCGCCATTTTGTTGCTTGTGCAGAGCAGGTGCAACTGCCGATCGTCATGATTCAAAAGTGCGACATCCTCAGCATTAGATTCGGTGTTAGGAAGCTCATGTAATGTTGCTTTGCTTTTTCGAAAACTGTTTAAAGTGGAGGACGGAAAAGCGTTTCTTGTGATTTCAGATAAAGCTTCAAATAACTGGCAACCATGATTTTAAGCCACAATAAGGCCAAGTGTCGCTACTCTGAAGCGTAGCTTATTTAATGACACTATTCATGCTCTTGTTCAAGAGGCTTGTAATACCTGGACGGGCCATGACGTAAACCCCGTGAATTCCACAAGCCACTACCTTTTGACACCTGCCTCTTCTTCATTGTGAAAATTTAATACATCGCAATGTATATCTATTTCAAACAATAAATGTTATTAGATGCCAATAAATCTGTTTGATGTCCAAAACAGATATGCGTCAAAAACGGGTAAGTTTGAAGGGCTCCTGGAGCGTTATGACTTTGAAAATGAAAAAAAGCCATCGTCCACCTCTTGGGCAACCATTGTAGCTCTAAATGTTATTAAAGATTTTATCATAGTTTAATTATTTCTTCAGCGGCATTTGAACTACCATGACTCGAAGCACAAAAAAGTGCTACGTTTGATATAAAATATCTAAACAAAAAAAGTTTACACAACAGTAATTTTTTTTTGCATATTACCAATTATAAGCACAACATCTGTAGCTAATTTCATTTCCCTAGCGCTTGTCATTAAAAACATATTTGTGCTGAAAAATGACAATTTTAGAGCAATATTTGGAGGGATGAAAAAAACAAAGTGGTGCAAATACCAAAAAAGTGTATCGTTAGATTCTGCTCCGACATCATCTTAACAAAACTGCTATATTGGAACCGTGCTATCTTTAATGGATCGTTCATAAAACATGAACTAGCGGAGCAAGTGAAGGTCCGCGCCATCATATTCGCAGCGCTACAAATGCGCATGAACAGTAAAAACCAACACATACATAATATCAAATGAAAGAGGATTGCATTGCCTTTCGAATGACATCAATCCCACAAAACAGTATTTAAAAGGAGATGAGTAATCGCCTGCCAAAAAGTACCTAAACTGCCACATTCAGTGGGACCGTGGCCTCAATCCAGCGTCCACTAGCGACGGAAGATGGGGGGAAGGTACGTCTTTTTTTTCGTCCTTAGACGATTTACACAATATCGTGCACAACAGCTCCTCATCACTGATCAGTGCTGGCTTATTATCAACCTACTTAATTGCACTTGACGTTTGAGCGCGGCTCGCCTAATTGTAATTGGTCAACAGATTGCACACGACCATATCGGCCGCGCTTCAAAGATTTTCATTCTCGCCGTCTTGTACTTTTGCTTTCGAAAACCCCCCTGGCTCCACAACGTTGCCCTATTCGTGCTCCCACGGAATCTATTAGAGTAGATTTGGGACATAGCCATGGTTAATATAGTACATAAGAACACGTACAGATCTCCCCCTTTTATTGATAGCAACTCACCGGAACAGCTGGACGATCCAGAACTCCGTGGCCGATATATATAAATGATCTAAAGGCATCTACGCGCGACACAGGTTCAGAACTTTGGCGCGGCGTCAATTCTTGACCGGTATCCAAGCGTGCAAAGGCACAAAGATGCATCACTCGGCGTGCCAAGGAAGCTTTGATCACGCCGCGATACCGGCGACACGTTTTCGACGAGTTGTACCTTTTGATACGGCTTCACGCACATTGCACTCGCTAAACACATTCACACGGCGTCGGTTCTTGGTCGGTATCCAAGCGCGCGAAGGCACAGAGACACGGCACTTCGGCGTGCCAAGGAAGCTTTGAACACGCCGCCAGCCCTTCCTTTCGACGCGTTGTGCCTTTTTCCTGCGACACTGCACTTTCGTAAAATTTTCCACGTGTTCACAACGGCAAGTCTCAACAATGCACAGAGTCTCAAAAAACTTCCTCGGCAAATGACGACGAACGAGTAGAAAACGTGTCTACAGCACGCTGGAAAACCGCAGCAAAAGGCTAGCAAAACGGGAAATCGTATCCCAGCGGGGTACGATTTCCGGTGGCTTCACTTGCGGGAGCGGCAAGCGCGATCCAGCAATTGTTATTGAGATCAGTGGCCTCATCCCATGGAGAATAGAAGGGTAGGAGAGGGCATGACGTCGGCCGCGTAGCCTCCGCAAGCCATGCTCCCTTGACGCCTCGCCTCTTTCTCATTTTCCTCCTTACTCTCCTCACTTACCTTGCCAACGTGACCACATCACGTGACCGTAGCTCGCCTTCGTCTTGCTATGGGGTACTAGATTACACCACAGTCTAGCCTTCGATCTGATAAAACCTACCGGACGGAGCGCGCGCAAGCCTGCGAGGAGTCCTTCTACAATCAACCATTCATCTCACACGTGACATGTCACGCGCACCAATCGCCAGAGAGATCTGCGGTCACGCTGGGCACAAAATCGTTTAAACTTTTTATGACTAGGCTTCACCAATATTGCAACGTGCCCCCTCCTAGTACTTCTAACCTCCTTGCCTCATCCCACTAGCCTTTTCTAGTATGCGCCGTTTTTTTTTCCGCCGCTTGGTAGCGGGTATGTCGACGGGTCATTTCCCCTTTCCGTACTTTCTAAACTGCATTTGTTTCTTTTCTGATCTAAAATAGTGAACAAAAACTACTTTAATACATAATTGAAACGGTTCGCGACACTTATATTTTGTATCTCGACTAAAAAAAACTCTTAGCGGCTTTGACCAGTGACAAGCCCAGGACCAAAGACGTCACATTTTGCGCGCTTTCGGTACAGCGGGTCGCCCTCGTCGGTGGAGGAGGTTTCCGCGTCGTCCGGTTGAAATATGACGCACTGATATTTAGTTGCTCTCTCCGTGCCCGCTGGCTTGCCCCAACCCCAAGAGACGTGGAAACCGCAAAAAAGGTAGACGCTTAAATATGATTGCAGGGCCCCTTTAATCAAAAATTATAAGTGATTTTCTGAAAATTTCAATGGGAAAAAGGAGCCCATTTTTGCTCGTTTTCGGTTCCTGGTGCCATAGAGCCCCATGTGTTTGAAAACTCCGTCGGCCGCCATTTTCCCATTGACATTTTCAGAAAATCACTTATAACTTTTAATGCGTTCATTTCTGTTTTTGGGGAAGTGCTCTTGTGACCGGGAGGGAGGCGGGGAGTGTAAAGTGGCTGACGTCATGCCCTCTCCTACCCTTCTATCCTCCTTGGACTTGACGCAGTGAATCACGTGACTAGTCAGATGACGTCATGGGGTTACGTGACGTGACATTACCTGACAGCATGCCTTGCCACCCGTCACGTGAACACGTGACACATTATTAATCAGAGTGCCAATTTGCAAAAGCGCCACGATAACCGACAGTTTCTCACACGATTTGATCAATACATAGAAATACAGCTGCGAATTGTTTACACAAAAGAAAAAAAAAAATACCGTGAACCGTTTTGAACCGGTTAGCATTATATTTTTGTTCCGGTTCTGTTCCTGTTCAGTTCCAAGAAGGCGTAAATATATCGGTTAGTTTCAGTTCTGCTTCGGCTAAAATAAACGGATCGGTTCCGGTTTTCGGTTCGGTTTGATTCCGGTTCGACCCTCTGGGTCCAGGCTTTTCGGGCATTTCTGCTTTTTGTACTTTCTGCTTTTTGCACTCAGCAGCGTTTCTAAACTCTCCAGGAGATGGCGCGAGTTATTACACAACTCCTACGAAACAACGACGACGTATCCGTCCAGTCACTCGATGAAGTCGCCTTCTCGCGAAGTGTAAATAGCATGTACGAATTTTGAGCCCATTAGTCTTTAGCGTGTGGATTTGCCCTTTTATTTTTCCAAGAGCGGGGTTATGTTTGCACTAACCTTAGTGAGGCAGTGAGTATGAGCCACCGTTTTCCTCATTTCGCAGTATTCGCAAGCAAAGCGCGGCCACATCGACACTTGTGCCTCTCTCGGTGCGGACGGGACGGCTCCGGGAAAAGCAAAATGGATGAAACGAAATATCCGCGGACCTGAATATCGTTCATTTCGCTCGCTAACGCTGCTGCGTTGTTCACAACCGCCTCCGAAAAGAAGCGAAAGCTCCCTTCTTTCGACTACACACATTTATTCCTCCGTCACGGGCTTGGGCGGTCTGTAAACACTATGTAAATGAACCAGAGATGTTGATATCTCCCGAGTTGTCGGCGGCAGGATTTTGTTTTGCCCTGGCGAAACCTTAATTGATATGCCTGTTGTTTTTGTTTTTCTCTCCGTCTATTACGTTTCTTCTAAGCCCCCACTCGAGGTGGTTTTGAAACCCAGAACCGTGTCGTGGAAAGAAATAACGATTCAATCGACTGGGTGTCTTCTTTTCTTTTATCGTCTGGGTTTCGTCGCTTTAGCCTTGGCTCTGTCTGCCCGCTTTCCCAAAGCCCCTTCTAGACGAGATAGTTTATCGCGGAAAAACCGCTAATACCCGCGTGCTGGAGAGCCGTCGCTTGTTTTTTGTAAACTTGTAGCAAATAATGCCGCGGCGTCGGTTCCTCCTGTGTGCCGGAAACGTCTGTTGTGACCACACGCACTGCAGACTCGAAAACGTTATACTCGATTTTCATTTCTTTTTATTTGCAGTGGGGAAACGCTGCACAACAAGGACAACGTTATTCAAGGTGATTTTTATTTTATTTTATATACATTGTAATTTGTGTTTTATGCGTGCGTGTGTGTCTTCATTCATGTTGATGTTGCACTAAGACCGTGTTAATGGCTCTAGCTTTTTTATTATTATTATTTCTGTGTGTGGGCTCGTATTTTAGCACAAAATATAGTGATCTTTGAAGCATGCCATACCCCCATTTCACAGCAAGCTCTGCATTCTGTGACCAATGTGTCATATGCAATAGGTTATTTTGCCCATGCGATCATTACATGCCGTAGCGCTCTCCTGCGAGATTGTAGCAAAAATAGGTCTTAGCAGCATTCCAGTTTTGCGACTTTCTTTCTGAACTCACGTCCTGCTGCCCCGATATGCAGTTGCCTAGCCAAAGGAGTATGCTACTCTTCACGTATACGTGGGCTTTAGTTTGTCTTGCTCGTTGGTAGAAAGATTTAAAAGGCTGCTTCGACTTGGAACGGTTCGCCTCCCAACAAATTTTCGGCCATTGCTGGACACGGGTATGCAAATCGTCAACCGTATGGCGAATTATTCCTTCTATTTCTGATGCTGGAACTGTTCAAACAGGCATAGTTCAGAGTAATCGCTAGACGAGGAATGCGATAGCAAGCCTTACGATTTGCCTTGCAGGAATACTCTACTTCGTTTAAAAGGTCAATGCACCTCATTTGCAGACGGGCATCGAGTTGGCGTCGCCCGCTTTTACGAGTCGCGCCAACACGATGCAATCGTTGAACAGACTCGATGAGAACGGAAGGGTGGAGCATGGGTTGTCCCTCCTTGAGCGTGGGACTCTTTCGCTAATACTTCGGCTTGAGCCTTGAGAGCGTGCACGCGCAGCCAAAGCATGTTATAAAGCAGCAAGCGCATGCTGGAGGCCAAGCGTTCAAAAGAGACTGCCTGTCATTGGCATGCTCTCAATGACTATGGTCTGTGCTTAGACGAAGCATTACGGGAATGATTGTTCACCTTTGGGAGGGTAGAAGACAGGTTGCCGTCCTCCGCGGTTTTCCAGAACAATAAAAAACAAAAGCGTTCATGAAAAAATGGTTAGGGGGGCTATGTTCTCCAAATGTTTCGTTTCTCCTAAAAAGAAACGGAAGTGATGGAAGTGACGATATTGCTTCTGATTGGTTAGAGGCTGAAATGACGAAAGTTCCCTCCTTCGTCATTTGAGCCTCTAGCGAATCAGACGCAATATCATCACTTCCGTTTCTTTTTAGGAGAAACGAAACATTTGTTGAACATAGCCCCCAGATATCTATTTCGTTTCAAACACTTTTGTTCACCCACGGCGTGTGAACGCGAAGCCGATGCCTATCGACATCGCCGTAACGTTTCACAGCTATCGCTGTGATCATACTGGGGATCAACGCGGGACTATCCTTTTTTTTATATGGCTTTGTGGGTCATCGCTTACTTGCCGCATAGGCGCCGGTCTTGCGATTCACCGTAATGCATCAAACCACACACGTGGTATTCCAGGGTGGTTCGGCCGAACTTAGGAAGGTTTTGGGGCCATTTTTTTTAAAAAACTTCAAAAACCCCATAAGTTTGCTTTTTCTTTTTTCGTCGCTCTGTGAAAGGCTCCAAACTATGTAAGCTAGTATATAAGCATAGTGATTTTTTAAACGGGCCTTTATCTGTTGCAACAAACTGATCAGTGGAGCTAGTTGGTTGATTACATATATTTAAGCTCCAAAAAACAAGGACAGAGCGAAGAATGTTGCCAATACTAGCTGCGTGTGCCTTGTATTGTCGTTGTTCTTCACTCAGTCCTTGTTCTTTTGGTGCTCATATGTGTGCACTTCATCTGTTTTTCACACAATGCCGTGTGCAGTAGGTAGCCTGTGCTAAAGTCCCTAAGCTACGCATAGGGCGTCTGCACTCCAGGTTCCCCATTTTGAGGCTCGACGCAGAGCGTATGCAATTGGTGATTGTCCCTCTTTAAAAGGACGGCTTTCCGAGCTTTAGACACAAGGTCGGGAGGCTCGGGCGACGTCGCATTGCTCCGCCACGGACCATTTTAACATCTCCGGAGGACAGGAAAGCCGTTTCTTGCAGTTTCAGATAAAGCCTCGGACATCGGCAAATGACGGTTTCGAGCACCAAGATGGTTGATGCATAGTTGCTCCAAAGTGTAGCGTGTTCAATGGCTCTGCCCCGCGTAACAATTGCCACGTGGCGGAACGCTAACCAAAAAATGTGGCTCTGTGCTGAACTGTCTTCTCAAAAGAAGGTTTCGTTTGAGTGCGTGACAATGCTCTGCCTCCTGGACACAGGCCAGCTGGACGTGCCACTGTCCAGCATCGGCTTGGAGCAGGCGGAACTCCTGGGCAAGCATTTGCAGCAGCACAAGTTCACCCATGTCTACAGCAGTGACCTGTCCAGAGCCAAGCAGGTGGGTCCAGTGACTGTAATTGTGTTCTGGGTTTGTTTAGGCAGCGTTAAGTTAGTCAGTTCCAATGGACGTCTGGTGTCTCCGCTGTGGATAAGAAATTTAGCGAGCGCAGTACGACTGCTAGGCTGGGGTCTTTCACGTGGAACACACAGTAGTGTTAGACGGCCGCACGCCGGTACGATGCTAATTCGCATCGAAACGGTCGGGGGTGGGGATTGAACCTAGGAACCCCTGGTCCTGCAGCATGAGCTTGCGTTACACACAATCTGACTGAAATGCGTTAGCATGCTTGGCTAACCGCAACCCTTCTGGTGGGTTCAGCCGTCAGGCCGTTGCCAAACGTCTCTGCCCTGAGGATCCTAGTAGCAAAGGGATGGCAAGACTTGGCCGGTATCTTGACACTGACCAGGAATAGCGTTGACATTCCTAGAGTGCAGACATTTCCAGGTGTGAGAAGCTTTAAAGGTTTCATTTACATTGCAGTGGCAATGACATGTCCTCAGGGCCATTGGCCATGGTGTCCCTGAACTGAGCCTCTCATTTTACTGTCGAGGCACTACCGTAAATCCAGAAAACTGACCCACGCCCGAAAAATAACTCTACCCCTATTTTCAACGTGATTTGCTTTTTTTTTTTTCTTTTCAAAAGCAGCAGAAGATAGCTTATTTTTAGTAAATGCAGAGTATGGCTGGCCAATGGTGGCCCTGCCAGAAATGACGTTCAATAGCTGCGGCGGGGGATAAGCGAACATTGCTGACTTGGGAGAATGGCCATCGCTATTTCATTGCCCCCACCCCCAACGTGATAACAAGTTTAGCAGATCACAAAATACAAAAATAGCAATTCTTTTATATTTTCCTCAATCGCACACTGGAAATTAGCCTACTGTTCATTTTCACCCGATTTGCTCTAGATTTTAGGTGGGATATTTTGATAGGTGTTGTACTCCATGCACAACTTAGCTGACAACGCCATAGATGCATGCAGTTAAGTATATAGAAATCATGATTATTAATTAAGGTGTTTTCTTTTGTTAGAAAAGTTTATATTTCCAAAGTTGCGTCAGCATTTTTTTTTTTTTTTTTAGCTTTCTATGTTTGTGCCGGCGGGCAAAAAGCAGCCGCAATGCGGGAGCGGTTCCCCCGCGGTCGTTAAGAGACGTCTCGGGTTTCGGGAGTCTGCTCGGACCGAGACCGGGAGAGCCTGCGCTTGGAGATGCTTGTGGCTTTTAACCGAATGTGCCTGTATATTTAACCGAATGTGCCTGTTTTGCCGCTTAGTGTAAAATTGTTGCTTTTTGCCCGATACAATAATTTAGCGGTTGGCGCCACCCAGACAGGGAAAATTGCAGAGAACAACTCTACAAGGAATTTGGGTTTGGCGGTTGGAGCGCCAGGCTGACAGCTCGCCGACCATTGGAGAACAGCGTACCACGTGTGAGTGGTGGAATTTGAAGAGATTGGTCGGTTCCTGAGGGGAAAGGAGGTCCCGACGGGCTTACAAAAGCAGTGGGAGATTCGGATTCGGACTTTGGATTTGATTGAGAGAAATTGGGGAAGAGGGTCGAGACTTTAGACGAGGCAGGATGGTCTCCCAAGTTGGGACTTGTGACTAGAGTGTAAATAAATGCACATAATTCTCTACAAGCAGTGAGTCGACCCGTCACTCAGCGACGTTCGTGCCACCACGCTCCGGACCATCGGAGTGGAACCTGCCTCCCACACCACCGGGAGGACTAACAACTTTAACTCGTGCCTTTTCATGCATCGATCTTCGTCCACATGATCACACTCTTTTCCGTAACGGAGAGCAGAGTCGGGTGATAAAAGGGGGGCCGTTGATTGCTCTGGTGAACGTGTAGCTCCCACCGCCCTGTCAGCTTAGGGGTGAACGGAGCGTTTGGCTGAGCTGCCAGCTTGTGTTTCAATGTTGTAGCTATTAAGTGTTAGCGTACGGAATGCCGTGGTGCAGATTCCGTCAAGTACACACAAGCCAGCGTGGTGGATTACGGCAGGCAGCCATTCTAGCCGCATGTGCCATGATTTCATCAGAATAAAGAGGTTTGCGTGGCTTAAAAGGTGTTATCGTCTTGCCAGAAAGAAATGGCCCTGAATATATATAATATTTTACCCTCACAAAACTGGGAATTGTGCTCATCACGCTTCCGTTTTACACTGTGAGAGGGATATTTCCCCCTCTTGAAAGTGTACAATAATGTTTTCTTGTGGTAAAGAGCACCTCTGAGGCTGGTAGAAAAAAATTGGTCCTTTTCAAATTGCATTTTTTGCTTTATTCTGGAGCTAGACATTTTGACTCTTGAATAAAACAGCAAATGTTTAGTTTTGATAGGGCTAGTGCTTCAGCACGAAGTTGCCATTACCTCAACGACCAGAGATGTTTAAACCTGAGAGCAAGTTCAAGGTCAAAGGGACAATGTCTGCGTGTCTCTTTTAGCTCTGTTCCTCGGTCCTTGAGACTTACGAAAGCAAATGAAACCTTTCAGCCATACCGATTGGCTCACATTCCAAAATGGCTTTAGTCGCACGAGATTGGTTGGCCAATATTTTCACATACACATAAGGCGCAATAGGAGGAGCGGACGTTAGAGGCACCACAAAGGACGAGGACTACTTGAAGGAGGAGACTGAAGAAGTGTCGGCGTTTCTCCTGTCCCCTCCTTCTACTCATCACCGTCCTTTCTTTTTTCTGTGTGCATGACGTTTACCCATTAGACCATCGACCTATTTTGGACATCTATCGAGACGTATAGTGTCGGTTAGGTTGAATGTGGCCCCACTCTCCCCCCAGACGGCGATGAGCATCCTGCAGATGAACCAGGTGACCGTCAGCCCCATTGCAGAGGACCAGCGCCTAAGGGAGAGGGTGAGTTTACTGTGCTACGTTCCCGCAGCTTATTAATATTATTATTATTATTATTATTATTACATATTATATTAATATTATCATTATTATTATATGGAAGAACCCTTGGATTAGGAATCCAGAAAAGGGGGATTAGTGACCTGCAAGTATTTGGTGTCCTTTCTGTCTCTTCTTGCACAGGTCCACAGGAGAGGGAAAGCGTCTTTGTGTGAGCCAATGTAATCCAAAATGCGCGCAAAAGCCGCCTTTGGGGAGCCCAATCTAGGCCAGAGCATAGGCAGTGCTGCGGACAAGTATAAGTGCAAACAGGGCGGGCGATAACTGGCAACTGACGTTGGAACACGAAAAAGACGAAAAATGCAAATAATAGTGCTAAAAAGTAAAAAAAAATGTCCTTGTCCCTTGCCACCATTTCGAAGCATTCAGTGCCGTTCCTAGACGTGCGACGCCATCTAAGGTATTACGGAGAAACTCTACTTTAGATTTTTCAATTCTGGTTTCTGTTTTTTCACGAGGGTACCATTTTTCACGTTTCCTTAAAGTTCCAGGGTCATGAGCGATCGCATCAAGCGTGGTGTCTCTTCGTAGCTTGCCAACGTTCCTCAGAAACGTTATCTGAATCGCGATTCTGGTGCATATGCAATCAATTTTGTGGACTGCCCTCACACACTCACGATCCTCACAGCCCTCACGGGCCTCATGGCCCTCACTCATGCTCACACTCATGAATTTTCCTGGTTCAGAAACTCACTCACCCTCACCTCACCTGTGAAGATGAGGGTAAGTGAGGGTGAGTGAGGGCCCTCATGAGTGAGGTTTGCCGAAGTAAGGATACAACACATACAGAAACACGACAATTACACAACGGCGCACTATTGATGCTGTCCGATTGGTCTCGTCGGCTCGTAACGTCAGCTGCGTCTGTACTCGAGGTGAAACAAAGTGTAGCCTTGAGCATGAATCAGTTGCCCTCAAAGACGCCCGAACGTCTTGAGCATGTCCATCTAAGTGTGGCGCGCGCGTCCCCTTGCAGAAGTTTGGGTCAGTGGAAGGCCGCAGCTTCTGCTACCTGCGGGAGGCCTCCAACAAGGCGAACCAGTCGGTGGGCTCCTACACGCCCCCGGGAGCCGAGACCCTGGCGCAGGTGAGGCCTCTGTCTGGGAGCCGAGAGAGGGGTATCGGGGCGGCACTACGGTGCCTGCCACGTGTCTGTGACCGGCGCGTTCGCCGCAGTGTCGACTGCAGTCCCTCGATTTCTGCCGGACGACGTCGAAAGAGTGTCGCGCTGTTGCCGGCCGTGGAGATGGACGTAGCAGGTGCCCGTCTTGTCTTGAAGTTTCTGCGGCAACAAGTGGGGACGCCTCAACGAAGGCGATGATCGCGTACGCTCCTCCTCTCTTCCCGTAACTTTTACGACCGACCTACAACGGCGTTCATTGCCGCTTCGGCACCACTTTCGACGCACAGGCAATATGGGATGCCAAGCACACCGATCGAAGACGTGCTGCAGTGCGAGATACGGTCAAACGCCTTTACAGCGAATGCCTCTACTGCAAGAATGCCCGTTTAACAAAGTTAGATAAAGTCCTGGCTAGTCCCCTGTGAGTTCAGTGTGTTTCTCCAACTACTAAGTCGAATTCCGGGTTAACAAATATTTCCGTTTGACGAAGCAATATTGCATGGGCCCCCCGCAAAGCAAAGGTGACCGGTATTACGAATTTTCTCATCAAAAAGTAATGAATTTTACGTAAATTGTTGCTTTCAATGCTGCGGCAGCGGTTGACACCACTGCCACACCACCTTTGGCGTGCCCCTCCGCCGTCGCCGTGCTGCGCGTTTTCGGTTTTGAGTTTAAATAATTTGTTAGTGTGCAACCTTGTGAGTAGATTGCACCATGCAACTACGTTGCTGGCTGTGTTGAAAACCTGTGCAAAGCAACATAGTCGCATGTGTTATCTAGACACAAGGTTGTGTACTAACAAATTATGTAAATCCAAAACCAAGAATGCGTGGCGCAACAGCGACGGAGGCAAAAGTGGCGCAGCGGATGCAGCGCTGCATCTGCTGCATGCTCGTGTGTACTTTCCTTTGCTTTCGTTTTCACTTGCGCCATTGATCGAGTATGCGCTACTGCACCCCAGGACGAGTATTTTTGTGAACGCTTTGTTATGGCATTCATACACTCGTTTTCTTATTTTGCGCATACGTCGGCGCATTTGGAAGGACCTGCGCGAACGACAGTGTATATAAAAAAAGTATTTTCATGGGCAGTGGCAACTTCTTCTATGCTGTTTCGGCATTTGTTTGATTGATGGGCCGGTCTTCGTCGGGCTCCAAGATTCCTAATCTCGCTCGATCCAAGCCCCGTATTGTTCCGCCTCAGAGCAATCCTATGCAGTCGAGGAAACGTGACCTGTGCGACTCTACCTGCGATGCCAAAAACCAAGCGAAAACGGTAGAGCTGCATCAAAAAACATGCCTCCCTCCTTGTGCCAGACAAATGAGAAAAAGGGCTTGTTGTGCGTCTCTCCTCATTCTCGCTACGCCGTGCGCTCCAGCTGTCGCATGTTGAAAGCATAGCCGATTCTCCCATGCTGCTACGGTAGTGCTGCCATGCCTACTCCTACGAGAGAAACGCAGCCGCTTTGAGAGCTTCCTCCCAGTGACTCGTTGCCCGATTTAGAGCAGGCCAAATTTACACAGTCGGCGAACGCCTCTCATTCGTCGCACGATCGGGGCTCAATATCGGCGGTTTTGTTTCCAATTGCGATTCATATTTTCATAAGTCGGTTAAGTTTGTTGCATGGAGGTTTGGACAGTGGGAAATTAGTCTGCAGCAAGGAGCGCCCGGTCTCTTGGTTGTAGACGACGAACTTTGCCAGTGGTGGTACTGGCGGTGCAACTGCCGGCCTGGTGTCCTTCAATTGCGTCTTATGGTGGCAAGTACATGGACGCGTGTCGATACAATTTTCACTTGGAAAAAAAAAATGCTAATCGAGGCTAAGATGCCTGGATTCCGCGATACAAGCTCTCACCTCACATGGCCCGAGCTGCGATGTGCCGGCAGATGAGACCACCATTCCCCCTTTCGACGAGTCCGTTGTCGACGTATGAGACGTTTTTGGCGTTACCCCAACTATATTTGGCGCCATACTTTTTCTTAAAACGCCTCGAATGCTGCGCAGGCACTTCAATGTGCGGTAACATGAATTGAGTTTCGTGCGATAAATTTTTTTCACACTCGACTACTACAACGAAGTTCCCGGTACTACAAAAAAGTTTGCTGGTCCCGCGGACTTTGTTATAAAGGCGTTTGACCGTAAGCAAAATGTGGCGAGTGAACCTGACCAGCTTAAGATGGGGCTCGAGTGCGGTGCCTTGGAACGCTTCTTTGACCTGTATGTTTGCTGTCTCGTTCCGGCCATGCGTCGAAAGTGGTAACAATTGATGTCACATTGTGTCGTGTTGTCCAATGTCGTGCATCTGGCGGTTTGTTTCCACTCAAAACATAGCTCTGCTCTCGTGACGTGTTTGTGTGGTTTATTACTGCTCTCTTTTCATTTGCCTCATGATTCGTTTGAATTTTGGCTTTCCCAACTTTTTGTTGTGTTAATCGCCCTTTTGACGATTCCACTATTTTTGGCTGCGGGCACAAGCTCTTTGCTCGAGGACGCACGTCGGCTGTACAGATTCTCGCTCGTCGGGAGCGACTGCCTAACATAAGGCTACGAGCTCTAAATTTTCGCGTCGGGAAAATGTTGCCATTAGGATAGCAGTATTTTCTCAGAATGTTGCCATAAAAATTGTCAGGAAAGCAAGAATTGTCGAATGAAGACAATTTTTTAGACACGTCGAGCTCCATTAATTTGGCAGCGAATCGAGCAGCAGGAACGACAGTGCGTTTGCCCTCTTGTGCCATTAAAAAATGCCAGCACGTCGGCAGCATGGTGCCATTTTAGTGTTCTTGTTATCACGTCAAGACCAGGTAAAGGGCCCAAAGTAGTTTTATAAAGAAATCGCAGCTAAAGTAGTCACTGGTAAAACTGCAAATTCATAAAAAGTGAGGAGCACGAGGTCTCCTCCTTGCCTTGCTTTGGCCCTCGGCCTTTCGAGGGTGATCTCTTTAGCCCCACACTGAAACGAGCTCGAAACCTTTCGCGTAACCGAACAGACACCGCTCCTTTCAGGTGCGGCAGCGGGCGGTGGCCTTCTTCAACGACCTCTGCCAGCTCCTGCACGGCTCGTCCCCGGCCGATGACCGCGAGAACCTCAGCCCCAGCAAGCGCAAGCGAGGCGACGACCCACCCTCCCCGCCCCTCTCCCCACCTCCTCCCCCGTCGGCCTCGCCACCCCCGGCCCCGCCTACCTTTGCGGACGACCTCATCCGCGCCTCCCTCAACCCCGGCGGCAACGCCCCCCCGCCAAGCCACGCCGCCCCCAACGTGTCCCTGTCGCCGCTCGCGGAGCAGTCGCCACGCAAGCTCTCGGCGTGCAGCTCGGACGACGCGGGCGACGGCGGAGCGCTGCTCGCGAGCGTGCTCGTGGTGAGCCACGGCGCCCTGCTCCGCGAGATGGTGCGCCACTTGGTGGAAGACCTCGGCTGCTGCGTGCCGGGGGGACGGGGCCAGGCGCTGCGCATCAGCCCCAACGCGGGACTGTCCAAGTTCACAGTGTCGGGCAGCGGGGAGCGGCCCCGCGTCGTCTGCCACCTCATCCACGACAAGCAGCACCTGTTCGGCGGCGGCTACGGCTACGGCTTTGGCCAGGGCGCGGCGGCGGGGCAGGACTCACGCGGCCGGCTTCAGGCGGTGGAGGCGGCCGGCCTCTCGGTGGACGCTACTGCGCTCTAGTGGGGGGTTTTCTCGGGAGGCAGGCGAGTGCATCGTCGCAGCGACGGGAGTCTGGTGTTTGCGGTGGTCTCTCTCAGTAAGCCGTGGGACGGTCGCCAAAAGGTGAGGTGCGACGGGGCATCTTTTCTTTTACACTAGATTTTATTGCACGAGTTTGCTGCTTCGAATTGTCCCCGGCAATCGGACGTCGCGCGTTCGAAAGAGCGGCGGCCTCGTGCTAAAGCCTGAATGATAAAAAAAAATACAAAAGAACTTGTTGTCGCTCCAACCCCGCTGGCGACCCTGGCGTTAATTTGCGTTCCTCGTCTTTCTTTTCGTAGCCGTCTTGCTGTTGTGTCCTGTTCCTCGCCTTCGGCGAGGCAGTGGAAGAATTACTCGACGATATGGATACGCAGAAGCCGTCTGGTGATCGCAAATGTTGTCAGATTTCTTTTTTTTTTTTTTTTACTGGTGTACGAAAACGGGTAGCGTTTGAAGTGCAGACAAGAAACTGGTCTTAAAGGAAATGGGAACAGCTCGGCTGTCACCCTCGCTCGCTTATCAATTCTTTCGCGTTCAGCTGCCGTGTCGTCGTCTTGCAGGAGTTTTGTTGCCGTACTGCTGTTTGCGCTAGAGCTTTGTGTGATTCGAAACTGGCAACGCGAGGATAATGGCACCATTTTTTCACCTCGTGGTGCAACTGTCCAAGAGTTCCGATTACTCTGTGACGTGCGCTTTGGTCGCGCCACTGCCCGCGATGGCGTTGGCGACTTGTTTCCTTGCTCCCTTTACCGTTGACACGACTGCGCAGCCCTCAACGATAGCGGTTACGTTGTTCGGCCGAAGCCCTGGAGCGGGGAAGCTGCGTTCGGAGCTTGGCACTTGTGTTGTTGGTGAGTCGGTGTAAAGACTGTTCCTCATTAATGGTTGTTATTGGTCATTGGAGACGCCGAGCTGGTACGCATTCGGTTCGGTTACATCCTTCGTGCGCTTCCTTCGAAATGTCCACATAAGCCAAAATTTGAAGAGGAGAGGCTTGAGCCAGCATTTTGCTGAAACTCTCGGCTTCTACTGCCTTGTGCATTTTGCTTTGACGCGGGAAGAAACGTTCGCGCCTGGGTCGCAGACTGCGTTCGGTACCATTTCAGAGATATGTTGTAAACTTTGTCTCTGAAGCAGTTAGTTGAGCTTAGAATTAAGAAAGGGACTTTCATTTTCACTTTTCTCGGCATTTCCGTGTAGTCGCTTTCTGCCGATAAATTCAATGAGCCCAGTGAACGAACCAGGAGCTACACTTTTTCCTTCTGGGACAAAAGGATTGGCGACTACTGTTACACAAGCTTTCGCGTTTGGGTCGGTGGATCACTGTGCAACTGCGTTTGAGGGATGTTTTGCAAATGCACAAGCTTCCTTGACAAAGTACTTAAGATTCTCAATATTTTTTTCCTGGTTATGCAAACTGCTCATTTGACTGATTTCTTATCTCGTTTACGCTGTGTATCAGCGTGCGACATTGCATCCCAATTTTAAAGCCTCGTAGGGTTTATGTGTTGCATTGTCAGTTTGTTACGAGAGGTGTTCCCCACTCTGCCATGCTCAAGTATTCATGTCAAGCCTAACAACCTCCAGCATTGTAAAACACACTCACTGTGTGCAACACAGTGCCCCAGATGAGACTTCCAAGTTTTTGGGAACTGTACCACACGGTTTGCAAACGGTTGTTTGGTCACCCCATGGCAACATTGCGAGACATGGACGTAAATCGAGCTCTCACTGTTACGGCACCCAAGACCTGGGCAAGCTGACATCTTGGAACCTGAGGCTCGTGTAAAGCGACGAAAAAAAAAATGAATGGAGGATGCGTTTCTGCTCCCTGGCTCGTGTCTCCGAATTAATGGCGTTGGATTGAGAGACACTAGAGGAAGCCGATCCAGGCCAAGCTAAGCCCAATGAACCAGGCTTCGCTTACCCCTGTTTGAGGCAGAGCAAACTTGGCCGTCTGCTTTTCCGTTTTCTTTTTCAGTCATGTTCAGGGAAGCGGAGGTAGGCTAGGCACTTAGATTTTCTAAAGCTATGCGGCGAACGCTAGAATCGGCGCACTTTTGGAGGCGTCGCTTGCAAGACTGTTCGCCGTCGTGACATTTTCCTGCATCTCTAAAGACATCCGTCAGGCTTGCGAATTATTTTTAAATCTTGCCGCAGATTTTGGGCAAATCTTCATTCGCTCTCGTACGAGACGGCTTCGGACATGCCCCCCGCGCGTTTGGCTTTCCTTCCGAACTTGGAATGTAGTCCACAAATGACTTCCAATTGCAATTTCCAAGTTTCCTTTTCCGGTTTTCACGTCAAGTGTTTAAAACGAGTCCTTGATTGTCCATTTAGCGATGACATATGCCGTGTGTAAATTGCCACGCAACGGTTGCTTCGCGACACCTGCTGCAACCGCGCTCCCTTTCAAACTGTCCTTGTAAGAAGAGGGACAAAGGTCGAAATTATTTTGAGCGCCACCACTGCCGTCGCGCAAGGCTCGACGCCTCAAATTCGCTTGTCCTTCAATTGGCTTCTCTGGCAGAGGCTCCAATTGGTCGTCGCCCAAGCCACTTGGTGACTGATGCATGAAGTGTATGCATCCTTTTCGAAGATCGTTCCCACAGCTGCCATGTGGTTGGTCCGTGAACCGACGGAGTGCAGTTTAACGTTTTATAATGTGTCGAACACTTTCTCCAGTCGCGAATCTGGTTGGTGCCATGCGAGCCGCATGTTTGCTGTTTGTGCGTGGCAAGGCTCGAGAACACCGGGGATCCGTCTTCCAAAGGATGTCTCCAATGCCTTTCCCTCCTGCGACGCGGCGCAGTTGTCGTGGTTGTGTAGTTCTGCACGTGTTTGTTCCATCTTCCGGCCCACCCAACTTCGCTGTTTGCCCGACATGCGCCTCGTAACGCCAGGGGAAAAGCTTTTTGCTTGAAAGTAAAACTCACAATAACGCTTCGTTCCCATGAGGCTCGTTTTATGCTGCGTTCGGACGGGTTGCACTTTACTGAGACGAAAGACTCCTGCCATGCAGAGGTGGCCCGCCCTCCCTGTAAAATTGGGTCCACCCAGTCGCGTGCCAGACGCTCCAAGAAGGTATTTTGAAATGTGCCGAAATTCCGTCATCGGTCAAACGGCGCAGCCTTCGCTCGACGCAGTGCACTTGCCCGTTGCGAAATTCGGGCCGCAACGTCATTGGCATTTACCGCCACGTGCGACTGAAAACCAGGAACTGGAAAAATTGTAGGTGCAGTCTTAAAAACTATGCAAGTGACCTCTCTTAGCGTATGTAATGTGCAGGGATGTTCGTGGGGGAACGTTGGCGTACGGAGAACCACGGGAATGCGCTCTCACTGCCAGTCAAAAAAGTTTGTAGCGTGTCCACTTTTTTTGTAATTTTTAAGCTGTGTGCAGCGATGTGTGCAAACGATTCCCTCGGCGTTATTCCGACGTCATGTGGAGTGCGATATTGTAAAATGGGGGGCACTGGCTAGCTGACTTTGGTGTCGCGCCGGTATGCCCCCCTTCCCCTTAATTCGGCGAAGTGGACAGGGTAGAGTATCCATGGGCAAGTTGTGGGAATGTGAAGATTTGCTGGTGTATGTTCAAGTGTGCGGGAACTCTCGATGTTGACAACTGCTCGTGACAAGAGCTGTCCCGCTCTTTATTTCTACACAAGTAAAAAAGAATGGCAATCCTTTGTATCGCAAGATGTTTCCCTGAGCATTTTTAATTTTTTTCTTTAAAAGATTGCATTAATGTTTGAATGCTAATATTACTGTAGTTCGTTGCAACTCAAGAAGGTAGGGCGAGGGTAAGACGGGCCGGGGAGGAGGAAGGAGACGGAACGCTGGAGAAGAGGGGGAAACCTCCTTCTCTCTTTAGCGTTCCGTCTGCCTCCTCCCCGGTTCGTCTTACCCTGACCCTACCTTCTTCAGTTGCAAGAAACTATAGCGGAAGTGCTTTTTTTTTTTTAACTACTGTAACATACCGGGAGAGCACCCACCCCCGCTTCCACTAAAAAACTGGCTTAATCTAGACATAAGCTTTTGTCCGGTCAAATTGGGCACTTAACGTATTGCTTGCAGAATTCCCAAGTTTAGGAAACATAATGGCGGGCGCTTGATTGAAATGGATGCTTCTGCAGTGTCTTGCAGTTCTGCGCAGAGCCCTTCTCATTTGTCTGCCTCTTTTTATTATTCAAACGAATGACTGCTGCAGTGACCTGAGAATCTATGAAGTGTATGTGTTTAAAGAAATGAATGGACCTGGTGAACTTGGTGAAACTAGGAACGCACTTAACTAATTGTACTTTATACGAAACTGTCGGCAAAGACCCGTGGCTCGAGAACGACCACTTGGATCGAGGGCGGGGCACGGAGTTGAGTGTTTACCGTGCGTCGAGCGGTTCAAAAGGTTTAGAAGCACGGGCTCTGTTCGTTTCTGCGTGCTATGTTAGAAGAAAAACAAATTGTTTCCGATTGCACACTTTTTTTTTAAATTTGTACTATTCCAACGCGGAGAGAGAGTCGTCTGCTTCTTGCACAGGGGTTGTGGTGACGTCGGAACGACACCGAGTTCCAATTGGCTTTGATCGGAAGGACAGTGGGCAGACCTCGATGCTAGATGCCTTGAGGTCAACCCACTATTTTTTTTCGAACAGTCAATAAGAGCTCGGCATTCTGACACCATCGCAACCCCCGAGCACGAAGCAGACAAACTCTTGCTCTGCACAGTGTAGGCAACGTGTGGCTGGTGTGTTGCAATGTGCCTCAACGGTTTAGCACTGCACCACAAACGTTTGCGTGCCATGTGTAGGAATTCTTTCACAATGCTTACAGACCAAATAAAGAAAACTGCACTTGTGGTTGTTTTTTTCGAGTTTTGGAGTTGCACCATTGCCATAATGTTTACACACACAGTGCGTGACACCGCTGGCCGAAACGAGCCATCGCCAGATTTTTTAACTTGACACATGTTCTAGGGCTGGCTTTCGAGCATGGACGACTCTACAAGATGTGGGGAAAATCGCAAGACCGGTTGTGTTTACATAAGGCCCGTCCCGCGGTGGGAATCGAACCACCGACCTCTTGCTTTACAATTCTATATCCTATCCGTTCAGCTCTCGTGACACGGGCACAACGATGGTTGTTGGTACTTGTAAGGAATGCGGAGCGTGAATTTTGCAGAAGGGCTTCAATTAGAGTGGCTTCGGGTAGCGTGGCAAGAGTTTGTATATATGTCAACCCGTTACCCTAAAACCTATGTGGCTCCAGTGTTAGGAGCATTGCAAAACACATTGCCCATTGTCTCTTCCAACTTTGCCTGTAAAATTAAGATACATTTTTTTTTTTTTTTTTTTAACATTGAAAGGTTACCAAGTGTGGAGGAAAGCGCCTGTTTCGGGCACTGATCTGATCAGTACAGTGTGGGGCCTACCAACATCTTGAAGTAAACTGCAAGAAAGTGCCAATGTTGTGCTCGCACTAACAGCGTCGCCCAGTGTACTAGTTGATCCACTGCATGCTGCTGCATTTAGCAGAGCGTGCTTTAGATATCTAGGAAGGAAGAATAAAGTGGGGTGCATGCGTTTCCGAGGTTGCACCATGCATGATGCTGGAATTTTAGGAATACGCAGTCGGTACTAGGTTGTTATAAAATGAAAATTGTGTTCCTGTGGACTTGCGTCGGTTGCCGACACCAACCGTGGCATTTGTTTCGGAAAATCGATTGTACTGGAAAGATGCCAGGATGACTCGACATTTGGCACCCACGTTGGGAAAAGTGTTTGGTGTTTAAATCTGGATATCGGTTCAAGTTCCTGAGGTATTCATGCAGTCGAAGAGCAGACCTGAATATTCTGATCCAAATCAATCGGTTTAAGTTTCTTCTAAAAAAGAAACTGCAGAGTACTACTAGCACCAACTTCCAAGATAGTTTGAAAAAAATACAGGAGCCAGTGCTCATCTTTTCAAAACTTTACCTGGCACCCATATGTCAATTCTGACAAGGTTTCTGTATCCCAGGTCAAGGAACTTCTTGCATACCATTGGCACGAGTTAGTTTAAAAAGCAACTCCGCTCACTTCCGAAGATTTCAGGATAATGAGTGACTTCACATTAAAAAACCCTAGTAGAAGACACTACATCGTTTGCTTCGCGAAAAATGGGATATATATTTTTAAATCTAATTTTAAACACGAGCGGAAATCGAAACCGAAACTTCGGCTCCGTCCGTCAACATTGGCCTCGGGCCGCCAAGAACATGGCCATCACATGGTACGAGATGTCACGTGATCCTCTACTCAACGACGGGCGGGGCTGGGGCAGGCGTGTGCCAGGCGCAAGTGTTGTCTGCACCGCACTCTTCGTCAAGTTTTAGAGTCTACGACATTCGACAACGTCAGCACAATTGCAGCATAAGTCTGTGCATGTGGTGTCCGTAGTGTGGATGAAACTCCGAGAGGCGATAGTCACAATGAGACGGCGGCGGTTGCGACGCGGGAGACGGCGGTAACGGCGAGAACACGGCGGGGCGGCCGGACGGCCGGACGGCTTTCAAGAAGCACGCTGTGCAGGTGCGTTACGCCAATCACGGGGACATCACCGAGTGCCGAGAGGAAACGCTGCTGACGTCATCCGCTACGTTCACCCGGAGGGGTAAAGACAAGCAAAAGGGGGAATGGTGATGAAGTTTAGCTCAATGTTGACTGCGCTGTTGGTTTCGCATAATCGGCAACTTGGCGAGTTGCAAAATTTGCCAGACCGTTTAACTGCGTCGTAATATTTGATGTGTGGTCTTCCTAGGCGATACTGAAGACTGCATTGTTTTTTTCAAAATCAAAAATGAAGCAGAGTTGCCCTTAAAGGTAGGTGCTGGGGCGGTAGCTTACAGGAAGGGGGGCTGGGTGCTAGGCTAGATCTGAACGGCTTTATCGGTGTCTGGAAATTGGTTGCCCTTTGCTGCGTCCTTCAGCCATTGTTTTTGTTGCCACAGACGGCACAAAGCGGAAGACTGCAAAGTGGAGGAAACAAAAAGAAAGTGCCCACAAAAGGTCTGGAATGTTTGGTGTAACTGACAAAAAGTGATGTGGGAGCAATGAACCTTGTAACAAATCCCCGGTGCCTTGCTCCGACGAGCATTCGGCAAAAAGCTGGGTACGTTTTTCAATATTTGTATTTTGCTAAACAAAATGGATCTTTTGTGCATCAGACAGAAGGCTGCGACTATCATAAATTAATAGATGCGTAGCAGTGAAATGGCATTTGAGAAAAGGCCAGAGGGGATCCAGACGAAATGGTTTCAGGTAGAAACCTGAACAAAGTAGTTCCACGTTAGTTATCTTGCACCTTGCACTCGTTAATTTTTCTAGATTGCTCCTCCAACTTTTTTTTACGACTACCGTAATATCCGGAGAGGAGCCGCACCCCTGAAAGATAACCATCCCTATTTTTGGCTTAATTTTGCTAAATATTCAGAACATTGAAAAGTAGCCCACTTCTAGTATAAGTGCAGGGCCTTGGCCATTGGTGACCTCAGCAGAAATGGTGTTACCAAGGCGGGAGATAAGTGAACATTGCCGACTGGGAAAGAGTAGTCTTTGGTTCATCGCCCCTTTCTGCGATCACAAGTTTCGCATGACACAAAATCTGAAAACCAACACTGTTTCAACTTATTCTTATTGCACACTGAAAGTTAGCCCACTCCTTTTACCTGATTTGCTTTAGATTTTAGGTGGGCTACTCTGGATATTATGGTATTCAAAGCACTTTTAAATATAACATTTATAATTGACTTGCACAACTAAAGGGGCTTATGAGCATAGGCGTAGACTTCGGGGGGGAGGCATCAGAGCTCGTGCCATGCAACGAGCTTCTAGTAGTGGCATGTAAACAAAATAACGCCCACATTGCCTTTATTGACAAAATACATGGGAAATAGAATCCCAGCATGCTTTCGTTAACTTCAATGTCCAGTTCTGGTGAAAAGGTAACGCTCAGCACCCCCTCCCCTTCCAGGAAAATGGAAAGTCTACGCCGCTGCTTATGAGAGTGTACTATGTAGGCACCCATTGTCAGACTATTGCAGGTAAGCTTTAGCATGAGCTCCACATCATAAAGGCACTTATTACTACTCACTCGAATGCCTGCTCTCCAATCTCCTGCTGATTGGATTTGCAAGCCTTTATTTCATATGCAGCTTTGGTGAAAAGTAGTGTCTTTTATAAATATTTTCTCTTATTGACCAGGGTCACTAAGGGGTGCAGAAAGGCAAGGTGAACATTTCTGCCTGGTAAAAAGTCTCTGCGAGTGAAGTCAAGGCTAGAAGAACCAGCATGTTATCCTGAACGAATGCACGGCACAGGGACGGGTGCGCACAACAGAGCCACTCACTCGAGTGTGGCTGCCTCTATAGTTTCCAGGAGTACAAACTTTTAAAGAGCAAGCAGAGAAAGCATACAATGAGCATGGAAATTTATTTCCACGACGAAACTTGGAATGTGAAATCACTCGGAACACACGGCCATCGTTTTCGGCACACACTGCATGACGTTACCAAAGAAAATGAGTATGAGGCGACGCATCAAAGATGAAAAAATGACTACATTTGGTAAGCACCGGTCTTGCAGAATTGCATTTTCCAACCTGGAGGTCCAGTGTTGTAAGTCTTCAACCCTTCGCTGCTCAGGCAGGATGGGACAACATCACTTAAAAATTGCAATAAGACTAGAAACTTCGCTTCGCACTGCTCACAATCAATCCCCGACAGGCACGCAACACATCGCGTACGCATAAAATTCGTCCGACCGCCGTAACCTATACCCTGCAACTCGAGCTAGCTATACAATGTCGTCAAAACAGCACACACACAGTAGTATAACTTGCAGATCCAACATCTCCCTGACAAACACCGGCACCGTACAAAATATCACAAGGTAGCACAGCGGTTGTCACATAGCCACCAGGCTTCCCTTCACAATGGATGAGGGCGCACCGACGTCTGCTAACCTAACCTCTCCAAGGAAGGCACATGGGCACACAGTTTGACAAAAAGCCCGACAGTTGACGGGGGCAAGCCGCACTCTTCGCCGACGAGTTGTGAAAATACTGGTTGTGACAAGAGGCCACGTGCAAGTGTCATCAGATGGCACTTTGTGTAGGCGGCCCCAAAACTGCAATTCCCGCATGGGACGAGACACAGAAACGGGCACTGTAACGTCCTGGCGAGTGTTTCGTAGCTGAAATGCGGCACCGTGTGCAACCAATTTCGGGTGGACTCAAGCACAGCTTCAGTGAGCACAGTCATTGTCCCGTTGACAGGCTCGGGGCTTATGCGCCACTCCACCGCATCTTGCCATAGCTGAGAAATACAGAGGCAGATTAACTCTGCTAGCCACCAAAAAAGAAAACAAATGCAGGCACTTCCGACATGCATAGAGGTAGCGGCATCGACAACAGTCCCTCACGTCGTTTACGCACCCCTTTAAGCAGTGAAGGAGTAGGTTTGTCAGTCCTTAAGCCACACTCTTTGGCAGTATACTGACTGCCACAAGAAACCAGTATGCGAGTCACCAACAAAGGAGGGCCGCCTCGCTCCTGATAACCCTCTGCAGTACTTGGGAACAGAAACAAGCAAATGGCCCATTCACTCATTTACGACAGCAGTCTCCACTAAAACCCTCAAGTGGTCCAGCCACCTAAAGTCACTAAATGTGGAGGTAATGAAATAGTGAGTTACATACTAGTAGCCGAGCCTATGGATGACAGTCCTTGTTCACCAGTGAGGAAGTAAAATGTGACGGCCACTCCAGCTCAAATTAAAATGACAACTACACACATTAGTGACCATCGATTGGACCAACCAGCTCATTGGCACCATGTGAAGCACATGTAATTACGGTAAATTGATGAGCCCACCTAGACATAGGTTGAAGAGCAGACGACACTGCCGCAGGAGGGCTACCTTCTGCTTCTGAAGGCACTGCTGCTATGTATCACACTGTCAAGCCAGATCAAAACTCTCGCACCCGAGAGTGTAAAAAAGCACAACCATGGCTGGGACACGAACGAAACAGCGCGCAGAGCTGCGGCCTTCTCATGCACTAGCCTATACAAAGCTCTCTTTCATACTGTCTTTGGTGAGTTCTGCACAGTTTGTTTTGAGGAAGCCAATGAAGCCTACCCAACTAAGCAAGTTCATCACTAGGCTACACCACCTGTAAACCAGGAGTAGGCAATGCTTTCTCGATGAACTGGTTTTCCTTCCCCACAAGTGTCGCCGCCACAGCACCCTAATGAGCCGGTTCGCGAGGGTGGTCAGCACGAGTAAACCAGTAAACAGTGAGTTAACAATGGAGCAGTCAAAGAACTTCAATCGGTGCTTTCCCCATGAGCAAGCTTGCCGTCCCCTCAAACGAAACGGCAACCGAGCACAGCTGCCTCTTTCGAATAGCCAACTCGAGAGCTGAGCTGCCGTACCCCAGTTGACCAGTGACGCAACGGACTAGGAGTGAGCAACGCCTCCAGCTGTACAGCTGCTTTCCTTTCGTGCAAATGGCACCGTCCCCCTACCCCAGTGAACGAATAAGTTGACAGGCGGACCAGCACCCCAATAAACTTGTTGAATAACTAGGCTACTTGATAAACCAGTAGAAAGGTTGCTTATGACCAGCAACCTTTCTCGTCTGCTAGCAGCAGACGAGAAAGGCTACAGAGCTAGTTGACGAGCAGACCGACCTGTCCTCTGCACTGAAGCCGATAGACCACTAAAACGAACGGCACTGGTGCCAGTAAACTGTTGTAATGGACAGCATCAGTGCAAGTAAACCATTCAAACAGGCAGCCTCAGTGCCACTAAGCCATTAGAATGGGCGGTACCAGAGCAAGCAAAAACTGTTAGAAAGAATGGCACAGGTGCCAGTAATCAATTACAACTGGTGTCAGTAAACCAGTAGAAGGGATGACACAGTTCTAATGGGTGGAACAGGTGCCAGGAAACCATTAGAACATGTCAGTGAACCAAGAGTGGATGGCACCAGCACCAGTAGAACAGGTGGCAATGGCACCAATAGATCATTAATATGGGCAGCACTGGTACCAGTAATCCATTAGAACGGGCCGCGCTAAGCACTAGAGCGGGCAGCGGGCTAGGAGCGGGTGACTCCCTCGAAGCACAGCTGCCTGCCCTCCCTACGGAAGCGCAGCGTGGTGGGGCGTGGTCCCCCGTGGACCAGGTGAAAGCGGGCGCTGCCCTGTGCCTCGGGGTCACACCTCCAAGGGAAGGCGAAGAAGGGCAGTGTCACGTACGTCGGGCACAGCGACAGCCCTGCACGGGCTGGCCCGTCGTGGCAGGACACGAACAGCCGGCACTGCTGGCCCCTGCAACACACAGAGAGGGAACTATCAAACTTCTCGAGGAACGCTTACCCGTCTTGGCACCGATGCAGTGAAGCAGTGCAGAAGGGGCCTTGCAAACAATACCAGGGAGTGCCACACACTGTTTCTGTGTTTGGCTACTTTTTTTTTGCTTCGGTTATACATACTTGGTCTATTTCTGCCAGCCGTTTGGCGGCTCGCTTGCCGTACCATCTAGCGACACTGAGAGGCAGGACAACATCAGGATGAGGCGACAAAGCAGGATGAGGTGGTTGTACAAAGATAAGGGCAACAGGGACAACATAAAATCCTACTGCGCCATGATGGTAACATCTGTCCTATACAGACTAGCAATGCCGGTAGTGAACGGTAGAGTAGAAAAATGGGCAGAAACAGAATAAATGTTGGGAGAACTGCAGAATGGTTTTCGCAAGGATACAAAAACGGCAGATAATTCGTATGCGGTCACGCAATGCATAGAAATAGCGCAGACATGCCAACAAACCCTTATGGATAGCATTTTTAGACATACAGGGAGCATACAATAATGCCAATCAGGAAATTTTGTGGGCAGAGTTGAAGGAATCAGGTTTAAATATGAAATTGGTGAGGTTCTTGCAAGGAAGTGTACATGGACAGTAGATTAGCTATAACATGGGAGGCTGAAACCAGAGCCAGCAGCGATAAGGTGGGGGCTTAGGCATGGATGCCCCCTGTCGCCTCTACTTTTCAGGATATACTAAGAAAAATGGAGAAAAGACTAGAGCAAAGTGAATTAGGATTTAGAGTATCGTACATGGAGGGAGGGAAAACGGAGGCAGAAATTCCCAGGCCTAATTTATGCAGATGACGTTGTGCTCTTAGCAGATGACCGAGAAGAGTTGCAGAAATTGATTGGAACCTGTGGTGCGAAAGGGGTGCTCGGATTTAAATTCAACAAAACAAAATCTGGAATCACGGTATCTGTTTTTCTTTAATAGACATCAAGGGATAGCCTTCAAAGATACAGAACATGGAGAAAGATATGTACGACAAGTACAAATATCTGGGAGTGTGGATCAACGAAGGAAAGAAATACCTCAAGGAATATGAGAGATATATAATTGGCAAGGGAAAAAGGAATTCGGCCATTATGAAACACAGGGCCATTATGGAACTTCAATAAATACGAAAGGGTGCGGGGAGTAATGAAAGGAGTAATGGTACCAGGATTGACCTTTGGTAAAGCAGTCTTGTGCATGTTCTGAAGTTCAGCCAAAATTGGAGACGAGACAAAAAAGCGTTGGCAGGATAGCTCTAGGGGCACATGGGAACACTGCAAACGAGGGAGTTCAGGGGGATGTTGGCTGGTCATTGTTTGAGAGCACAAAGGCAGTAAATATAATACATTTTGACCAAAGACTAACAGGCATGGAGGACGTGCAGTGGGCGCATTAAATCTAAAAACGAACTCAACTCTGTCATGTCGCGCCGCAGTGGTGGCGTGAAAGAAAAGCAGCTGCTGATGGACGCTGGGCACTAAAGATTCAATTTTATGGCGCAAACGTAATCTGTCTACCCTAAGCGTCACAAAAAACCCAAAGTTACAGCCATGCGTTAGCCTTTTTTTTCGTTAAAACTATGACCTAACACCACGACATGTCTTTCTTATTATTTTTCATATCTCAGAAAAGGGGCATTTTGCGATTTCGGAAGGGCACCCGGGATTTGATTTTATATAAATAAACAGATAGCTGTTAAATCAGAGTAAACAGGCTTAAACAATAAAACCTGAAGTAAGAAAAAAAAAACATGTGGTTAGGTGGCGCAAGTCACCGTGCAACTGCCGCTATGCATCTATTCCTCGTCCATCTATCCTGTTTTAGAGAGCCTACATTCAAAAGAGGAAGCAAGCGAAACTGAAACCACGGAGACGGCTCCTGCGCAGATTGGCCATAAGTGCGCCTGTGTTGTGTTGTCACGTGGAAAGAAGGCGAGTAAGCAGAAAAACGAAGACACCTGTCCGATCGACGCTTTCGTCTTTTTCTCACCTTCTCGCAGTTCGTAATTCAAACGCGGCTATCGAACGGTTGGAAACACTCTCAAATCTAGGCACGCTATTTTTCCATTCCGTTTCACTCCGATTCAAAATTTGCGGCTTGCGGTTCCAAAAGAATGACGACGACAACTTGGCTGGTTTCGTGAACGTGGTTAACGTAGTCCTCTTTTTATCTTGCAGTCGCTGATTTCTCTGAGTGTGGCGAGAGCCACACTACATAGGCGCATCAATTTGAAATGAGGGGCTTTACTCGTGAAAAGAATTAGGCATGGCGCGGAATTCCGGCCTCCCAACAATTCTTTTCTGGAAGCGGTGCAAATGGGATGTTTCGGTTGTGATTCAAGGTTAGATTGCGTCACGATCGTGAGTAAATCTGCGTGCTATAAAGATTGTGGCATTCGTTACTTTTCTTTTTTCTAACCTGTGCATTAGATTTTTGTGGAATGGTAATGGATTTGCATGCGAGACAGACCACGCGAGAAACACCAAGAGGTGTTTCTCGCATGGTCTGTCTAACATCACAGCGCTAACATTGGGAGGCAAAACTAATCGTTTGTCCGCTCCGCGCCGACCGCGCGTCTTTGGCCAAATATATTGAATGTTCGAGTGCCCGAATACTAGGAATTCGATTTGCGAATCGAATTACTCGGGAACTTCCTGTTCGATTCGAATTTGTATATTCGTGCAGGGTTAAAGTTGAAGACAGATACAATGTGAGCATTGTGCAAAGAGGAGACAGACGCAATTGCGCATGTCATTCTAAATCGTAAGGAGCTTAGTCCTGAAAGATGCCCCACCCGTTTTTGGCATGATATGCTATTTTGTTTTGTTTTTTTCAAGAACACAAAAGAGTTTATTTTTAATAAATATGATGCCCTGGCCAATGGCAACATCCCTTAAAATGGGGTTAGCTAGCTACGGCAGGAGATAAGAGGACACTGATGACAGGGAAGGACAATCATGTTTGCTTCATTTCCCCTTCCTGAGATAACAAGTTTGACAAATCCCAATCTAAAAGCTACAATATTTTTTTTTTGTCAACTTTTTTGATCGCACATTGGAAGGTAGTAAGTAGCCCAGTCTTTATTTTTACTCGACTTGCTCTCAATTTATAGTCGGTGGGCTACCTCAAGATATTACGGTAGTTTTTTTGTTTTTTTTTGCTTTACTTGGCAGAAAAGCATTGGCACCGCACAGTGTATAAAAAGGATTAAGCTGACAAGCACTTGAAAAACTTTGAACTCGTCGCAAGGTGGTCAGTTGGGTGGGTTTTTATAGACTAAACATGGCTAAAGTTGCACACAAAGAAACAGGGACAGAGGAGGGACAAACGTAGATGACAGACAAGTGAACACTCACAACTCTCATGTATTTCTTACTTTCTTCCAATACATGTGAGTTGAGTGTGCACTTGTCTGTCGTCTACGTGATTCCCCTCCAGTGTCTCTGCCTTTTTGTGCGCAACTTTAACCACAATCAACCCGTCGCGGCAGAACGATCGCGCCTAACCAATCGTCTGCCTTCTCTCTTCGTCCTTCCCTTCTTTCTCATTCTTTCTCTCGAAAACACCGAATTCAGCTCGACATGCCGCATCCTGGTCCCGTCTTTACCCCTCCGCCAAGCGTGGCAGGAGATGCAACTTCTCGACTCCATTTATGCCATCGGGTGAAAATCCTATATTTAAACAAAAACAAGACCTGTAAGAGTCTAGCTACCAAGAAAAAATATTTACAGAAAAAAACCTAGACCTTAATGATGCAGAGGAAGTCTCCAACAAAAAGAATAAACTGACCACCACAGAGACAGTATATGATTTGCTACTTCCAGTCAACTGGTATCCCAGTGAAATATTCCACACAGAGAATGAGACATTAGTCTCCTAGAGGGTGTTATATAATTTGCTTCACTTTGTTTGCGAGCGAATTCGAAGTTACAAGCACAAGCCTGCTGCTCCGAACAGTGCTCGCACTGCACAAGTGCACATGCTTGGCAGAGGTGCTGAAAGCCCGAAGCTCACTCCTTGTGCTATGCTCGCCCTTGAAGGGAAACAGAGGATGGTCGTGCTTCATCTAAGCTGGAAATCAATTACTCCTCAAAAAAATATCTCAACATTTTTCACAAAAAAGTCTTTCACATAACTATTGAAAACCAGCGGCAGAGGGCTTTTTTGACCCTTCCCCAGTCGTATGTAATGATAACATGGAACTCAAAATATGTGAGAGCTATTAAAAAAACACTAAACCTAGAGGAAAAAAAAAAATTCTATTTAATTAGGACAGGAATGCCTCAAAATTAATGTTCGTCAAAAATAAAAAAAGTTTTGACAAAAATCTGTTTAATTAGGACCAGGTGAATTTTTTTTTCGGCGCGCACTAGTCGCATAGTTGTGTTTGGAGATTTCTGTTTGTCTTTTGTCACTCTTGCTCCCCTCCTCCAGGGATTATTATAATTTATTCTGTCCAACTTCCCTTCACCTTGGCATTAATAGCATTAAACATAACTTTATAATGCAGGCCGTTCAACCTTGTTGGTGTTGGACTGGTAATAGCTGATAAAACCCGTTTGCTCTAGTGATGTCTAACTCCTGGTTAGCGCAGTTGGTAGAGCTCTCCACTGGAAACAGAGGTCCCTGGTTCCAGAAACAAGCGGATGTTTTCTGTGTGCAAGAGTCACCTAGCTGTGTTTGGAGTTGTGTTTGTCCTTAGTTCCCCTTCTTCAGGGATAATTATAGTTTGTTTTGTCCAGGCCACCTGCACCTTTGCATTAATTGCATTACCATCATAACCTGACCTCTCTTTGTTTCAGCGCTTAACTTGTTATGAATAAAACGACTGGCATTTCTGTTTCACAAGTATATCTATGTCTCGATTTACCAGAATAGAAATTGCTGAGCACAAATACTAAGCGAACTAGTGTACCTCTATCAGAAATATTCCATCCCCAATTGTAAAGACAAAGGACTAAGTGTGGGTAAGAAAAACAAGTTTCTTCCTCAAAAACAGCAGGAATAGGTGTGGGAAGGAGAAGAAAGAAGGAAACAAAGATACTACAGCATCTTTTCACTGGCACAGCAAGTTTAAGGCACTGTAATAGAAAAATCAATAATTATTTTGAGGAAATGGCGCACCACAGTGCACACTTAGAACTTACGTCTTGGCAGTGGCAAAGTTGGCGAAGTCCTTGAGCATGGCAAAAAGGCTCGCAATCGTCTGGTCTCCATTTGGATCCTGCAAATTCAGGAAAGCAGAAGATTCAACAGGCGACGAAAGAGTCACGACAGGCGACGAAAGAGTCACCAAAGAGCCTCTGTTGCCGAGCGAGCAACCATAGATTGTCGACCCTTAAAGAAGCTGTGCAACGATTTTATTGTTGAAAGAATTGGCATCTTCTGCTTTTGATTTTGTTCACCTTGTCACAAATGACAGAAAACACACCTCCTTTTATTGAAATGTTGCAATTCCACCGCGTAATAGCGAGGCAAAACTTGGAATTTTCCCCGACCTGCAGCCGCGAGTGGCGGCCATGAGAAACACGCGGCGTGACGTCAACGGGGAATTTTGTAGAAAGATAGCAAGTTGTGCGAATACCTGCTCGATAAAAGGTAACTTTTCTATAAATCTTGTCATTCGAACATATATATATAAATGCATCAAAAGCCTGGTATCATCGACAAAACTTTTATTATACGGAGTTTTAGTGGCGCCATCTATCCTAGGTCCACAAAACCGTCAGCTCTCCCTGCTACCGCAAACAGCCGCCAGAAGCCGGAGGGGGAGGGGGACAGGGCCAAACAAGTATGGCCGGACCCAGATGAGACATTCCTCCTTTCGCCATATTGTTCGCGCGGCGCCCGCCAGCATGTGGTCACGCGGTCGCGAACGGATGAGTTCTCGCTGCTCACTGATGGCTCTAAAGAGAGAACCTTTCCGGAACCTCGCGCCTACCCCATCAACGTCACTGTGCAGGTGACCCGGAAGACGGCGTACGAGTTGAGAGGTGGCAAAAACCTGGATCTTTTTCATTTTTTAAAATAAAAACTAGAGTATCCAGGCAAAATCTGTTTTCTGTAGTTCACTTCAGAAAAGTCAGGCATCAACTTCCACAATAATTTATGCAAATGCCTCAAATTGTTGCACAGCTCCTTTAAAAGAGAGAGAGGTACATATAGTACTACTACAAGCTTGCAAGATCAAAGAGGGCATAAATGCAAAGCTAATGTTTCATTGATAGAAACCTAGCCCATTAATGCTCAAGACCATGCACATCCGTTTAGCACAAATAAATTTCTAAGTTCCAAGTCTATTTCCAGCTTCCTCAGACTTTTTTTAAAAGTGAAGTTCTAAAGGGATACTACAACGAAATTTCGGCGCTCATTTTTTGGTCTATATGTGTTCAAAGGAGCAGTATCACATCGAACATACCAATATATTGTTAAAAAAAATCTCGAAAAGGAATTTTAAAACTAATTAAACGATTAGCAAAGAGCACCTGGTGGATGTCGCTAACGCCTCGTTTGTAATGCTCGTCTAGGAACCTTGACAGCTAGTGACAGAAATTGTCTCGTCTCCGGCCACGACGAAAGAAGAGGGGAAGGAGGAACTCCCCTCTTCCCGAGAATGCCTTTTGTGTGTCGCAGAAGTCGCTATTGTCCCCCTACAAGATTATAGAAGATTAACCCGTCACTCAAAATTCGTACAAAAGCAGCCGCTTCGGTGGCTGGAACGACTAAACCATCCTCTCGACGTCAGCCTCGCCGTAGCTTTGCTCGTCCCGAGACGACCTGCATCACGATTGCGTTGGATGTCACATGGTCTCCGCTGGGCCTTCTCCGAGCGCTTGCCAGAGTGGGCCGTTTATAACAAAAAATACAGCCACCAAACTCAAAATACAAACGTGTGATTGCCATTTACGGATATTGTGGATCATATTCAACCTATTTTTGAAACACGACGGGAATATTTCAGATTTCGTCGAAGTATCCCTTTAAGACTCGCAGGGAATAACAGCCACTGTAGAGCGTGAGCTCCTGCAAGTTTATAAAGGACAATACCACGCTGTGGAACCGCCCGAAATTCTCCCCACACTACTGGTCAGACACCCCATTGTGCTTGGCTTGAGAGATGTTGCAAACCTCTCAAGATTTGATTCTTCAAAAAGAAATAGAGAAACTTTTGGATCTTGCCAAGGTCCGAAGTAGTAGCGAAGATAGAGACCTCCAAGGTTTTTCAAAGATTCCAGTTGGACAACCTCGAGTTTTCAAGTTTTCAAAACTAGACAATTTTGTATCTATACTCTCTATTCAAGTATGCAAAGTTCAAACTCTTCAAATTTCAGGTATGCTCAAGTTTGACAGTCTCAAATAAATTTTGAAGTTTTTACAGACGTCGTGGAAAACTGCCAACCGAGCCGAGTGGGACCGTAAAGCACCGGGACATGCGGCCACAGCTCTGCATCTTGTCTTTCCCGAAGTGGGTCAGCGGCAAGAACCTTCCGCATTATCCACCAACTACAATGCTGGTACGTGTCTCCGACTGGTGCGGTTGGCCCCATCCCACCCTCTTTTCATTTCATTTCATATCATTTATTAAAACTGTCAGCCCGTGAGGGCAACTACAGAGGTGGAAATCACAACGTAAAAAAGAAAACCAGGAATAATCAAAGCATGAAAGAAAAGGCAAAAAATACCAAACAAAAAGAAAAATGAAGTAACACAGAATCATTTTTATAGACACAAAAAGAAAATGTCACCACCAAATCACAATGTGCAGTGGCCATCGAACAAGATTTTCGATGCATTTTAAAAATTCACCGGGAGATGTATACATGACACAGCTGTATCGGGCAAAGCATTCCACACCCCATTTGCTTTTGGGGAAGAAACTAAATTTAAACCGGTCATTACGAACGGATGGGTTTGGAATAAGCGCGCTAGGACGGCGCCCCGACAATCCGCCTTTACACATTTAAAAATAGTCAGATTTTTTACTTTTAACTCTATCACAAATGAATCGGAAAATAAATTTTAATCCCTCAAGCTTAGCAGTAGATTCCAACGACGGAAGGCCGGCAAGTACACACGGCTTAGTGGGCAAGCCGACGTAACGACATCTTCTAGAGACGAGACGGGAGGCTATAGCCGCCTAAATTACCTCCAGTTGAGAGCCGTATATGTAGAGTTTGGCCATTCATGGGGAAGCATAGGAGACAAATAAGGAGACGCCAGTGGCCGAAGGCAGGCTGGGCGTGTTGCAGGGCATCTTCACAAATTTCAATCTGGTTAACCAGAAGCCGGAAATAATACCCTGGCAGAGGTTGCGAGAAACAAACTTATTAAGTGTGTCGGAGTAACTCTCGGTGACTGAAAATATGGTGCACCTGATGTTTCAATCACTGTCATCCAAAATCATGGTGGAAGAGTGCGACTAGCGAAATGATTGACACAATCTGTACGCCAAGCGCCGAGGGCCGAGAATCTGCCGTCGAAGTGGTCGCACTTTCTTTGAGCAAAACAGAGTTTGATCAGCACATTCAATCCTTACATCTCTCTGCATGATCATGATCGAAACATCACGTGCACTCTATTTTCAACCATGAAGGGTTACTACTCTTACACGCTTATTAAAACTGTTTCCTGCTACCACCGCTAGGGGATTCTTTTCGGCTTCTGGTTGGTCAAGAGAGCCTGTCAAGCCCTCTTTCCGAGTCTGTTGCCCGCCCTCGCTCTGCCCGTGCCTCCCATTGACCAAACTCTCTGTATACACGGCTCTGCTCCAGTTTAGAACGATTTGTTGAGGTGCCCACACATCAAAAGCGGACCCAAGGCAGCGGCAAACGGCGTCGCAGAAACCCTAACATTGCACCGTGGGATGTCGCAATCCTGGCAGTCGGTGCCAGGAGTACCAATAAAAAGTAAAAGCGAGCGTCGCCGTCGTCGTGGCACCCCGACCACCGACTGCCCGAAACTTCCGTGGACCATCAAGCCAAAGAAGGACTGGCGGCACGACGGCCACCTGCCACACCCTCCGCTGTTGCCGCCGCACCAGTGGGCACGCAACGCTTCTACAATGTCAGCTGACGGAAATCGAGGGAGCACTTTTTTGGGCGTGGTAAACGTTTTATCTGGAATCACACTTACGGTGGATGCTTCCCTGATGTACTCCTGGAGTCCGCTGAATATGATGACGGCCGGCAACACGGGGAGCAGGTGAAACCTGAGCAGGTAGTCGAACACCGCCTTCAGGTTCCCCAGGTACCTGCGAGGACAGGTCGTGGCGGGGCCACTAGATGTACGCGACCCTCGGAGCGCCGACGTCTCGCAGGGGCCCCCGTTTAGCAGGGGGCGGGCGCAATTGGCAGCAATGGCAGTTCGGAAACGCTACTTCCCGAGCTTCACACATGGCGTCGGGAAGATAGGGCAATGTCGTTATATAATCTGTTCCAGACTGTTTTAAGATTTTTGGAGAACCGGAAAACACTTCCTGCATTTTCGAATCGAGTTTTGGATGACTGCGTGGGTGGAATTACCAACAGGCAGAGTAGGCAGCTGCCTAGGGCAGAGGAATTTTCGGGAGCAGCCAATTTGTGGCCCGGTTCAATTTAAATGGCTCTTTCATTTTTAATCTACCTCCGAATTTAGCTAGTTTGGGAATTCTAGCTCAAAATCTAGCTACTTTTGAAAATTGTAACTCCAAACTGAGCTACTTCCCTATGCCCCCCCCCCCACCCCCGATGGGGAGTGGAGGGACTGTAAAACACTGCCTAGGGCAGGAAAACACAAAGTTCGCTTCTGGATAACTAACAACAATTATTTCAAGTAACAATGTGGCTTAAGTGTCATTACTATTAACTGTAGCTTATTTGGCAGTCATGCCCAAGTAGAGTGTTGTTAATCTAAAACATAGCTTCCGCACACCATGCTTCAGAATAATGTTGTGCTGTCATGAGGGCATGTGCTTTAAGATGATGTCAGCATCATGCAAAACTTGTTTACTTTCTTGGTGGGCATTTATTGTTTGTGTTGCCTATTACTAACACTCCAACCAGAAAGAAAACTGAAACAAGCAAGTTCATGGGGCATACAAAATTCGAGACAAACAAGTGGGTTGCATTACCAAAAAAAGAGTTTGATTATATCAAACAAGCTTTGCACCGACATAATGACTGCACAGGCTGACCGAGCCCATAGTAAAGATAGGGTACCGCATTTTCAAATAAAAAAAACTCCCGCCGGTAAAAATTTTGACAATTTGGATGTATCCGATAAACTCCAAATTTCCATGTCCCAATTCTTTTTTTTAAAAAAAAGGGCGTCTTAAAATTAAGTTTGGACAGTGAGAAGGTCAATGGTCTTGAGAAAATGCCACCTCAGTTTTTTTTTTGAATCTCAGACCATTGTAAATGTTTATTAAATTTTTGGTTAGTCCCTATTTTTCGCTTCATGTCTACTCCTAACCAGGCAGAGGGCTGCCGAACGTTTACCTTCAGACCATTGACAAAAGCAATATTACCGCTTATCTCGTGAAGGTTTGCAGGACAACACGTGTTTTAGGTCACGACAATAGCCACTCTTCCGCTTTCCAGTTTAGGCCATACTACTGGTTCTTCTTAGAGGACGGGGGAGGAAAGTTATGTTTTTGCACCAGCGAAAGCTGTGAATCATACAGATCTCAGAGACGGGGTAAGGGGGTCGGGCAGTTGAAGCTTCATTATTGCACCCTTTACCACGCAGTTGATGGATGGGACGGGATAAATATGAGCCTCCCAGCGACTACCTTCAGGGGTTTGTCGATTGTAAGGTTTCGAGGTGTATCAAAGCCACTTTGCAACTTTGGTAGTGGGACAAGTCAGTATTGCCAGTGACAAGGGCACCAACACCAAATCCAGCTGAAGAAATATTGAGACAATCGCTTTGCGAATCAAGCTCAAACTTACACCCGGATATTTCTCTAATAGAAGCCTTTGCAAAATTAAGCAATCCAGGAAAAATAAACTCTGAATTTCCGACAAAAAATAAACTCCAAAAAACGCCCTCTGATTATGGCAAAGATAAAACTCCAAAAACAGAATAAACCGCAGTCGAAAGTGTGCCTTAATCCTCGTTTTTGGTGCTATTATACATTTTTAAATAGAGTAGAGTGCCCTTAAAGCAGGCACATCTAAACATTTTTGGAACTTGCTTTTTTTTTTTCCACCAGATCATTTTCTAAGTTTGGGCCATGACTTCTGCTAAGCGAGCAATCCTACGGTGTACGGCGAGTAGGCAACGTTTCGGGACGGGCGACCGAATCGCGGCGCCACGCACTTGGGCCTGATGAAGTCCACCATGTCCTGGCGGAAGCGGGGCATGCCGCGCACGTGGAAGGCTGAGTCGATCATGCCGCAGCCCAGCACCAGCACGTAGGCCTCCGCCTCAGCAGCCGTCACTGCCAGCTGCAGTCCCAGGGACGCCAGGCACCTGATGGGAAGGCCAACGGTTTCCTTCACCACATCACCGCTGACCGTGCTACCTTGCACGGGGTGCAGTTCCACCTGCCACACTACAGAGCGGGGCTTTCTAAACTTCTTCAAGATCGAGGTGCCAATACCTGCCTCGAAAGGAAGCAGAGGAACCCTTCTCGGTCTTGGCATTGGTGCATCTACTCTTTGCCGACCGCACCCATGTGCCATCAATCACCGGCAATCAATGGTTTCCAAGCACCATTGAGAAATTAAATTTAGTGCAGAGGATTACGTTCCAGAATCTCGTGAATACCCGAAGAACTATAGTTTAAATTTCAACGTAGGTTTTAGCTTTATCACAAGCTGCTGGGCTCTGAAAAATAGTTATGGGAATGGTGGTTGCTTTTGTCTAACATGTACAACTGCTTGCATCAGTCTTCGTCACAAAGAAGGCATTGTTTACATAATTCAACTGTATTGTGGCATATGTTTTAGATCTCAAGAGCTCTGGAGACACTTTAAACAATGTTATAGGTGTCTCGCTTAACAGATGGTTGTCGGTAAGCATCACTACAGTTTCAATCCTGTCCTGAGCCAGCGTGCACGTTTTATGTTCCGAACAATGCGACCATAAATACCAAACATGAAGGAACTGCAATAGCCTTATGAAGGCAGAACACAAAGAAAGCCTTCTCTGCTGGAGATGTGAGGTGTACTATCTGTGTTTTACCAATATAAACATTCCTCCATTGAAAAGCAGACATGTTAAAAAGGCTCCACGAACTAAAAATAGACGTCAGTTAGAGTACACCAACTTACAGAATAGCCATGGATGTGGGGCATATTTTGCATATTTGGGATTTCTTCTTTTATTCATCGTTTAATGTGACATAGATGTAGAAGATTCATCATTTAAATGCCTTCCAAGTATACACTGTATTTCCAAGAATCTAATTTTAAATCTTTTTCCCAGATTATAGAAACCTGTTTCTTTTGAAAGAACAACTAAATGGCCCCATTTTGATGTGCCATACTACTCCACACGCTAATTAGTTAGGGAAAGTAAAAATGTTAACGCAGATCCTTTGAAAATTGCTACTTTTCCCGTGGTCACGAAAGAGTTAAAGTAGTACAGGAGGCTACAAACCCTTTGAACAATGATTCATGTAAAAGGGAGCATTTGGCTTACAGTCATGCACCAACGAGTGGTTCAGATCTTCTAAAGTGGCGCTTAAACTGGGGACAGGAATGGACGAGGAATTTTATGATGTCAGGGAAGTCCCCTGTCCCTAGGAACCTACTTTAAAAACAAATGCTAAAAAAAAAAGTTAATAAAATATTTGTATATCTTTTTATCCCTGCAAATTTAATATTAGCGACGAAAGAAAAGTCACCCTTTCAGCTTCTGGATCGGCTAAGGTCAATTGCGTCAGATTATTGAAGAAATACAGATTTACAGAATGATTTTAAACTATCACTTTTTCCCTCGGGCAATACAGGATTGGTATTCATTCGAAAATAGTATAGTACCATTCTCTTCACTTCAAGATATTACTGCCTGCACTTGACATATTTTCTTCCCGATTCTTGTATGCTGTTTGTGCATTTTTTTAGTATATTGTGTACCACTCCTGCTACGCAGTGGAAAGCCTGAATACCGGTAAATAAATAAACAAACCACCGCTTTTGACTCGTTAAAGGCCAAGATACACAAAGATTATTTCCAGCTGCCCAAACTATCTATATTTTCTGAATATCCGGGGTTTACTCTTCCAGGAATGCTATTCAAAACCAAAAAATTCAAAATCACTATTGAGAAAATGGCAGATGATGATGAGCAACCCTAAAATTTTTCTCCTGTTCCCAGTGGCGTGAAGTGACTGGCAGACACAAGCCACCGGCAGTCTAGAAAACCGAGCATATTGCAAACTTTTTTTTGTCATGTCGGGGAAGTGTTGAAGCACGCTTCCCCAGCATTCATTGCACGGAATCAATCTTTTTGTAATCAGCTGGGAACAAGTCCTACAGCCAAAACAGCCAACATATGCCTGCCATTGGCATCAATTTTTCTGTGTTGCCGTGAGAGACTTGGAGTTTAAAAAGACAGTAAAATAAAAAATAGCCTTTTTTGGAAAAATGAATATATATACATTTTGACAGAATATATGAGTTTGGCAGAATCTGCTGGTGTGTTCAGCCAATTTCAGGGTAAATCAACAATCATAAAAGTAAACAAAAATGGCAGAATGCTCCTTTAATGCCTTGCCTACTAATAATGACTCTTACGGACCATAAAGCTTGACCACGAGCGTGGCTCATGTTTTGGTTTCGGCGCTTGTATAGCGCGCTCTCCAGCAGATGGCAAAACCAACTCTGCTACTCCATTAACCGTCGGTTGTTTGTTTCTTTTGCAGTTTGACAGAGAGATAACACCCCATTCAGCCAAGGAAGAAGAAAGCAATCGCTCGTAGATGTTTGTACGAAAACAACATGGCTTTTGCCATGTTGTTTTAGCGCAAAACCTTCTTTTTGAATGGTAATAATGCTCAGGCATATGTGACGACAAATCCTTCTGTCTTTTCGATTTTTAAAAATCGGACGATAGTTTGATGGGCAGTGACAAAAGTGATAAAAAACGACGCGAATCCTTCAAGCACTTTATCAACTTCAGCGTCTGCAAGTCAGTGGGACTCTGAACAGAAGTTCTGATTTGAAGCAAGGTGCTACCCATGGTAGCCGAAGAAATACTTGTCTTATTTTAACGCAAATCACCCGTTTAAAATAAAGTTTTGCTGTACATTCCTCGAAAAAAAAAAAAAAACGAGTAGGCGAGGGGTTGAAGGTTTAAGGATGACTGCTTCTTTGGTAAGAAAAGACAAAAGAAAAAGTGAAAGCCGTTTACAACTCCCTGTAACGCCGAATTAGAGTGCAGCTCTTGAGGAGGAGGAGGGAAGGGTACTGAGGGGACGGTACACCCCTCCTCCTCCTCCTCCTTCTCATCTCATCCTTCAACCTCCTCCCCTCGTCACAAAGGGGGGGGGGGGTTATGTGACCCCCCCGAGGTCATGTGACCCCCATGACATTACGGGGGTCATGTGACCTCACGGGCAGTGTTGTACACGTTCCTAAAAAAAGAAAGGAACGATAGCTCGTTCTTTCTGATTTTTGGAATGCGTTCCCGTTACGAGTTCCATCTGCGAGAAAGGAACTCGTTCCCGTC